CATCATCAAATTGATTTTTTAAATGCTGAAACCTAATCATAGGACTCGTATCTTGAAGGTTTCCAGTAACCACTTTGTGCTCATAAGAGCAAGTCTAGACTCTACAATAGTCTTAAAAGTCCGCCTTGATTTAGATAAGTCGATAACATCTTTGAGACTTAAAAAGACCTCAATAGCTCATATTCACATATAAATATTATATTTCTCTTTGAGTACTTATTTATGACTAAGGCTCCTTGCTTATCTATATTCTAAACTCTAAAACAAATATATAATGGGAAAATTAGTTCTCTTGAATATTTTAAATCTGTTAAAATCTCATAGCTAATGGCCCATTTCTTATAGCTCTCAAGGATGTACAAAAATAAACAATTTTTAAAGGCCTGTGGAATGTATTTTTTTAATGCTGGAATAAGATGGCATTTATTATAGATAGTGTGCTTGTGATGAAACAAATATGGTGTTTCATATGCCACAATGTGAGACGTTTGATAGAAAATAATTCTTTTAAGATAGCTGTTGATGGCATTTAAACTCAGAAGAAAAGCAGTTAGGGTAATTGTCAGGGACTGATAAAATTTCTTGGAAATAGCTAATATAAAATCTTAGTCTTTGCAAGCAACACATTTGTAAATTAGTATAATACATCTTATACACTCACTGGACAGGTCTATCATCATTTCAGGCATCTAACCTATAGTTTAAAATTGACCGAATTATTTTTAGAATTAAAATTTATCTTCAATTCAGAAACAATGAGCTTATTCAACAATTATTTGCTCAAACTTGTGATATGTCAGACAATAATCCTCAAGACGCTGGGCCATCCATGGGTCAAACAAGACAGGAGAGAGCCCACTCCCTTGAAAAGGATAGTAAAATGAGGATGGAGACAGAAAACAAGGAAATACAAACTAACAAATAATTAAAATAGTTATATAAGTAATAAAAAAGTAAAACAAGGTGAAATTATACAGAATTATTTGGGTGAGGTGGCAACCTTCAACCAGGGTTGATAGGCATGAACCTGCCAGGCCAAGACCCAGAGAATTTTAGGCAGAAGGAAGATGACATATACATACCTGCCTTAGCATGGGCATCACCTCGAAGTGTTCAAAAAAAGAAGGGGTTAGAATAAATAAATCAATAAAAGAGGGGAGAGTTAAATAAGTTGAGATTAGCGATGACAAACAGGCCATAATAAGGAATTTTGATTTTACTCTTTTAAAATGTAAAGCTGTAATATTTGGTTCATGCTAAAAATGATTTCATTGGTTGCCTTACGGAGAAAGGACTATAAGAAGCCAGGATCGATAGTCAAGAGAATCATTAATATTGCAGTCCTAACTTGAGGAAGTGGAGTAAGGCCTTGTAATGTGCTTTCACAGTGACTACACCCGGGAAATGTTTATAGAGCACATTGCGTCTCTGTAGCACATAGAGAGTTTCCAGGAACTAGAAGCAACTGGATGGCTAAGATTTTTTTTGTTGTTAGCACAGCTTAGGAATATGCAGCAACTTGCAATACATTCAGCTGATGCAATCGTGCTTGTTGAAAGTGAAGAAGACTTGAAAGAGTTCATGGAAATCAATGACTAAAGTACTTAGTATGGATTACATGTCAATATAACAAAAACAGAGATGCTTACAACCGGACCAATAAACCATATCGCAATAAGTGGAGAAAAGATTGAAGTCATCAAGGATTACTTGTAGCCACCATCAACACGCTTGGACACAGTGTTCAGGAAACCAAACTATGTATTGCATTGGGCAAATCTGCTACTACAAACGATCTTGTACTGTCAAAGGGCAAAGATGTGGCTTTGATGATTAAGGTGTGCCTGATTCAGCCATGTTATTTTTGATCACTTTATCTGCATGCAAAAGCTTGCAAATGAACAAGGAAGACTGAAGAAGTGACGCCTTTAATTAGGGTGTTCATAAAGAACATTCAATAGACCATGGCCTGTTAGAGCGATAAACACATCTGTATGGGAAGAAGTACAGCCAACCTGCTCCTCAGAAACAAGCCCGGGAGGCTTCATCTCGTGTGCTTTGGACCTGTCACCAGGAAGGACCCATTCTGGAGAAAATGTTCCTGTTTGGTAAAGGAGAAGCTTAGCAAAAAGGAGGTAGACCCTCAATGAGATGGATTGACCTGGTGGCTGCAGCAATGGAGCAAGAATTCTGAGAATGGGGCAAGACGAAGAGACATTTTGTTCTCTCGGTCACAGGACTGGTAGGACCTGGAACGGATTGGATAGCACCTAACAGCATTAACAGATGAACGCACTACAGCAACACTAAAACTAGCTGTCATCAGGCCCATTCTGACTCATGGTGACCCTATAGGACAGGGTGGAACTGCCCCTGTGGGCTTCTGAGACTGTTACTCTTTGGGAGTAGAATGCCTCATCTCTCTCCCCAGGAGCAGCTGGTCGTTTCGAATCGCTTACCTGGGAGTTAGGAGACCAACCAGTAGCCATATAAACAGTACCTGATACAATGTATACTTTTTATGTTCATTTGTTGAATGAGTCAATGAGTAAACAAACAGCGTAGTACAAATAAACATTACATGTTGTAGAGTACATAGTCCTGACTATATATTTGGAGTGTGAAAACTGAAAGGAGAAAATATTTAAAGTTTTTAAATTTAGAAGAAAGCCTTAATTTCCATTTGTATTTGAATATTTCTCTTATCAGAGATCATTTAAACAATTTGAAAGTAAATCCAAATTTAAGCAAGAAAGTTTCACATTCAGACATCTGAAATTTCACATTCTTCCATACAATTTTCAAATCAAAAGCAGTCTCAATTTCGTGCCATAGAATGGCACTATTCATTAAACATCTGACATTCATAATATTAATTCTATAGGTCTTTGTACAATTAAATAACATCATGTATAGAGTCTGAAACCTGCCGTGGTTGGAGTTTTCACACCATGGGTATTGGCAAACACTATAAAGCATGGTTCCTTTCCACCCTCTGGAGAATCAGTTGTTTAATATTTCCTCATACAGCACTGATTATAGCTATACTGGTGCTATCATTATGCTATAGCATCTCTGGTTACAAATTTCTCTAGTTTAATTCCAGACACTATTTTCTGCTTCATAGTAGGAATTACGAGTGGAGAGTGAGAAAATAAAGGAGACAGTAGCATGCTAGAGTTGGCTTCTTCACAATATTGAAATCAATCTAGCAAATATTTTTGCACCTTATTATCCCCAAATAATGCCCATGTTGATCTCTGATTTCCTTTTGTGAAATAATTTTGGTAAAGTATAAAACTTTGAAATGCTTTCCATAAGGCCCAACATTTAAGAGATGTTTTAAAATTTAAAAGACACCATTTTCTCATCAAATTCGCAAAGAAAGACAATAATGTTGAAGTGGGTACAAAGAAAAACAGCATCAATGTATAATGATACTAAATATATGAAGCAGTAAATATTTCTTAAAAGCACTTTGGCTATGTAGGTCAAACACTTAAAATATTACAATATTTTCTCTTCCTTAAATTTTATAAAAATATACCAATGCATTATTTATGATAGAAAAATGGGATATTTTTAATGGAAAAATTTGAAATTTTGCATATATGAGTGAATAGTATATATAAATATAAGTGAAAATGATAAAATGTTGAGTGACATGAAAAGTTTTCACTATGTAATATAATTGATGAGTAGGATACATGATATCTTCAGTAAAAGCAAGAACATGTCAAATTAAACATGCATTCAAAACGACTCAAAGTAAAAGCCAACAGAATAGTAACAATTGTTATTCTGGAGAATTTGCAATCTGATTCAGTATTTTCTTTTCCTTTTTAATTTTTGTTATTTTCTAATTTTCTACAAAGAAATAATAACTATGTCTAAACTAAAACAAGAAACTTCAGTATCCTAGCGGTTACATTTTCAGTTTGAAGAAATGGTTATTTTATTTTGGTAAATTTCACAAAACTATAGCATTGGGCAAATCTAGAATTTTAGGTTATTAATATTCTGGCATTCTGTTAGAGGAATATAGACCTATTCTTTTATCAAAACAGATGGAAATTATATCTATAGCGTGTGTGTGTGTGTGTGTGTGTGTGTGTGTGCCTCTCTCTCTTAGGTAATTTTATTGGGGCTTCTTACAACTCTTGTTGCAATCCGTACATCGATTATATCACACATATTAGTACACATATTGCCATCATTCTTTTCTAGACATTTACTTTCTATTGAGCCCTTGGGATCAGCGCCTCTCCCCCACCCCTTGTGGTCCCCTGCTAGATTATTGTTATTGTTTTCATATCTCACACCGACCGCTGTCTCCCTTGCTCTCTGGTTTCCGCTGTTCTTCCCGGGGATGGGGGGTGTGGTTGTGTGTCCTTCATTGTGATCGGCACCCTCTTCCTCCCCACCTCTCCCCGCTTCCGTACACCCTTCTGGTACCGCTATTCCCATTCCTGGCTCTTTTCATAAGGACAATCACCGCATTTTCTTCTAAATCACTCACGTCTATCTTTGACTTAACATCCAGAATCTCACATGCTTCCATAAAATCATCAAATCAACATCATTCTCAATTTAATACCATTACCAAACTATACCGCACATCTGTTGTGAGAGGTAAAAAAACGTAAACAAATAATCGAGTTCTACAAATACAAAAATAGGAAATCATTCTCTTAAATAGATGTTTCCAATTAACTAAAGCTGTCAGAAACACAGCATTATAAGATTACCTAGTATCATGTACTAATATAATGCATTATGCTATTTTAACTGTGCTTTAAAGCCTATGTAATAATCAAAATGTGATATAATGCAAATTTGTTTTATTACTCATAAGAGGCAGTATATCAAGTCTTAGATAAATAAACTTTGAAAAACAATTATATTGGTGTGAACATCAGTCCTACCTTCACTCTTGGGAGTCCATAAGGTCAAGAAATTTAAAGATGCTCAATTGAATCTGTTTTAAGTGACTGGCTTACCTGAAATTTTGACTTGAGACACCACTCCATCTCCTCCATCGCTGTGTGCACGAACCTCTACAACATACTCTCCATCCCTGGGGATTGGGACTTCTATGGAGTGTTTGTGAGTTGAATACAGCTTGCCATCATGTTGGCCATCAGGTCTGTAGAGTACCTTACAAAGTCCAAAAAGATGTATACTTAATAAAGTTGTAATCATGAGCCACTGAAAAATCAGATAATATGATTACTTTCAATAGTCCTAAGAAAGGACGGTTTCTTCTTGTTACTTCAGAGAAAGTGTTTTTCTTATATGTCTTAGGTTGACTCAAGATGATGTACCTTAAGCATCTGAATTTTATTTTTTAACTAACCCAAAAGAAAATAATTTTGGGGGTCTTCTTAACCCAAAGGAACAAAATAGGGGCTCTATCAAAATGTGAAGCAGTGTAAGAAATGGTCTCATGATTTTAGGGTTTATTTTATACATTATTCTTAAAATTTAGCATCCAATAAAGAATGCTATATAGTGTGTAACATAGAGAATGTATGGAAATTATGTTTTCTCATTTTTATTTCATTTACAGAAATCAATTCAAGATATCAAAGAGTTCACTATATGTGGGCCAACATCATTCTAATATTCCACGCAAATAAACAAAGGATTATTTCTACCATAACCACTGATTATTCTCACAATTTTATATCTTAAAAGAAGCCATTACGCTATTGGTCTTGTTTACTGTTAGCCTAAAATAACATTAGCCTAACATTTCCTAAAAATGTTTCCTTTGTAAGGATATCATAGTGCTATGGCCCTCTTATTCTGTTACACAGTGAGAATAAGAAGCCAAGTGGCCTTGTCCAAAACAGCAAAATACCTGTCACCCTTTGTAACCATGACATTTATATGGAGCACAATCTAGGGGTCTTTCAGGTACCTTATATCCTGTCACTGATGATTCATTTGATAGCGCAACGACGTGATCCCAAGTGATTATGTATCGTGAGCCAGACCTTACAGAACTGATGATCCTCGGCGGCTGGCTAGGAGCTGTGAAAATGCATAATACGTCATTAAAGATGATCATACCCAAATCCATAGCATAAAGGATTTCAAGATTGATAATAGTAAAGCTGATAGCTACCACCCGACTCCCACCATCACCACATCAGCAAGAGCTAATATGGATGATTATTCTATGCCAGAACTTTCTGTATTAGCACTATGTTATTCTATGTTATTTCATAGTTATTCTATTGTATGTTATTTCTATGTTATTCTATGTTCGCACTTTCATATCCAGCTGCCCCTTTTATGCACCCAATGACCCCATGAAGGATGTACCACAACCCTTTTATTCTATTCTCGATGTGCTTCACTTGGGGTTATCTCCACCACACTTTCAAGATTTCTATTTTCAAGGTCACCAACGACCTCCATTTGAGCAAATCAAATGGCCATATTTATTCGTTTTGAACACTGCACATAGTTGGCCTCCTTCTGTCTTGAATATCACTGTTACTTTAAATCAATTCCACTGGCTGCTTCTGCTTATTAATATCCTTTCCTGGCTTCATGCCCTTTGTTCGACTTCTAAATGTTGGGATAGATTTAGAGATTGGTCCTGACCCTCCTGCTCTCTATACCTATGCTTTCCTAAGGCGTGATTCTATTTCAAACTATAGCTATTTTTTTTCAAACCTAGGAATATGCAAGGGGGCTTAAAACGTTTGTGGAAAATCTCATCTTTTAATTTCATTTTGTCTGGGAACTTTTTGAAACTTCCACATATGTGCCCAATTGTGTATCTTTATTTAAATGTCTAAGAAACTTCTTAAATTCAAGAGGAAACGTTCTCAAAACTGCTCTACAAATCCCTTATTTTATTAAAAACACACACACACAAAAAAAAAAACCCAAGAGCAGACTCTGATATTCAGTCCTGCATTCCGCTCATCTCTTACATCCAAAATCGCAGCAAGTTGTCAACTCTGCCAGCAGAAAAGTGTCCATTAGCTCCATTATTATCCCCTAGTACTGGCCACTCTCACCTCTCTTCCTGATTCTGCAAAACGCCTCTTCATTGACTTTCTGCTCTCGCTCATGCCTCACCACTCCCCATTATTCACACAGACGCCAGAACGATTTCATATACAGTAGATATAACCTATTATGTACAATATACATGTGAAAAATTTATATCATATTGTATGTTAAAATCTTCCACTGGCTAGTTGTACTCAATGAACAAAGCAAACAACAGTCCAACTCCCATATAAGACTGAACAGCTCTATCTAGTTCATCCTCTGGACACTTCTTCCTCTTCAATTCACTGTAGCATGACCCCAGTAAACTTTCTACACCTAAAACCGTTCGAATTCTTACAGCAAAGCATTTACACTACCGATTCTCTCTGCTCAGGATAGTCATCCCCCAGATCAGCACAAATTATGTCCTTTTGAA